CACGCAGCAGCACCTCACACTGCCGCTTCGCACCCCAACTCTGCCCAGGCTCATCCTGAAACCGGGTCGCATGGTCCATGTCTGGTCGAGTCTTGGTAGGGGCATCATTCAGACAAGTGGCCCAACTGAAGCAGTGTGCAACATCACCATGTAGCCACATGCTTATGTTTAGCCCTGTTGTCTTGCCATATCCTCATATGTTACTTTTTTGTGGGGATTTCTTGTAAATGCATCTTTATATACAATATAAGTTTGTTTTAAACATGAAAAATGCTCAGCTTAGTGCCAGAATCTAAAACGGAAACTTCCATATGTATGGTAATTTTTGACACACCTCAGCTTCCTAACAACATCAGCACTGCAAGTGGACCACACTGTCTCACCACTGGTGCCACGAGATGGAGACATTACATAGCCATCCTTGGGGCAATTGTTCTGGCTGCTGTCATGATGCATCCCTAAACTGCAAAAATTATGGATCCTTGTCATTATACAGATAAAGTTAATTGGTGCCCTTGCATTAAGCTCAGTTGAAAGTAAACCTACCATGAACAGTAAATACTTCTGAATGATTTTACAGCATGAAACTTCATAAAATAAATCTGATGTCAGTAACAGAGAAGGATTTACCTTGGATGTAAAGTTTTGTATTTAAATACTGTTACTGATTGACTAAAGAATCACACTATTTATCTAGGTATCGAAACCAGCAAGTTCACTCACTTGTGTCCTATTTCATGTGCAAGGATGTATACAGATGTGAAACCTGCGGATGGGTAAGGCTTCCCAAATACATTGGTTGTGCCCAGTTCTGCAATCACACATGCATACTTGTCCTGACAGACACCTCCTACTGTGGCAAGACCTGCAAGATATTATGAGATCAGCTGTGCACAACACACATTAAGCAGGGCTTGTATCTGAACTCACTCACCCATTGTTACTCCACTTCTCTGTCCATTCTCATATGCAAAGAAGTCTAACCTGCAACACATCATTAATAGTTCTCTCAGTTCCTGCAGAAGCTAGATATTCTAGTTTAAATGGTGACTAAACATAACCTTGATGTGACTCACCCAGATACATAGAGCCCCATGTCCCAGTGATCTGGATTTGAGTCCCCAGTAGGATTATTGCGCGCATTGTAGTCGCAGAAAGAGTCCAATAGTTTTCCCCGTTCCCCATCATAGTGAGGGAGGTCTCTGGGCTGGTGGGACATCAGATCCAGTCGTATCAAAGTCAAGTCAATTGACTGGCCTAGACTGGGATGGTGGTACAGTGCCTGGACCTGTAACAGTCCTACAATGAAACTGTCGTCTACTTAATTCCAACTTTACCATAGAGGAATAAGGGATTTAAACACTCATATTACAGGGCTGCTGACTGTACTTTAACTGTAGAGTTAACAGTTTAGTGGTAAGCTACTGCAATGCACAGCTAGCTAGTTGGACTACATATAAGCCATGACACAAAACAGACAGAAATCAACTTAGCAGAAATTAAAACTGCTAATTTGTTCAGCTTTGTATGCTACTGTGTTGTGCTGATATACGCATATTGTTCTAAGTCTCACTTAATGTACACATGAATAATTGAAAAATTGCTGCTCAGAGGATATCATCCATAGTACAAGTGGTCCCAACAACAGTTCATCATGAGAAACACTACTATGGCAACCACTGGAACTACAAAAACACAAACACAATGTTATAGTAAAATTTTCACAAGCTAAAGGCTTAAGAGAAGAGAACAGGATATGAAACTCTAGTACCACAATGGTATCTTGCCAAGTCGAAAGCTCTTAACAACAAAGTTATGTGGCTTTGTTTCAGTAACTGCATTTTATTTAATCCAATAACTGTCTTATTTCTATTTTGCTCTAGTATGGAAATCTTTCTGCCAAAAGATATGTGAAATATTACTAGTTCAAAGGAATTTCAGTAAGCACCAGCATATTGAATAAGAATTTCATAATTCAGGGTCTATTAGTGTGCTTTTCAAATTAAACATGTCCTCACTATGAGCTCAGAAACACGTTCATATGGTTTTCTTGCTTTAAATGGGAGCAACATATAACCACAAACATGACAAGTGTTTTATTTCTGAAATATAAGTTGTACTTTCATGCATTATTCAAAAGAAATTTATGTCCTCTTGATTTTAACTTCAAAGACAACATTTCATACGCTGTATTGTCGGTGCATACTGAATTGTAGAGCGTACTAAATTAGTATGATTTCAGTTCCCATCAAAAGTAGATAGTCACTTTTACACCAAAGGGAACCACATACTGTGAAGTATTCTGCATATTTTCTGCAGGTCTAGATCCCCATATCATATTTTTATTGGTAATGATTCACAAGAAAGGATCAGTTTTTATGTCACTGCTTCATACCATACCCCATTCATGTAGGCCAGCAACATGTCCCGTAGTTTGGCATCATCACCACTGAAATATGGTTTAAAGAGCTGGTACCCGGCAGCGTCAAAGAAGAGAGCCAACTCAATTGTTGGATTTTTAGTTGCACGAGTTGATCGGTTCTCTACTGCAGCCTGTAATGGCAGTACAGAAATGTACCTGGATCCTTGCTGCAAGCATGTAAGGCTACAACCCATACCACAAAAATTCCAAAATACATTTGAAAATATTTTATTTAAAATGTTTCACATTGTGATGCAAGTTAACCACAGCCTACCCTGCACATTGCAGTATCATCTGCTGCAGTATGAACTATGCATACCACTTTCATGGTTTACAAGCAATAATTTATCATAAACACAAATTATCACTTGATATTCTCCTATCTCTCATGATAGCTGTGAAATATCTGCTTCTAAATAAAACTAATTTTCCTTCAGTTACCTTCTTAATTACCTATGCTGCATACAGATAGGCAGTGTAGGCATGATCCTTCCATTTATTTTCTGTAAATTCTTTAGAAATGGCTCAGACAGTAATAAAACTCACCTCAATCTCTGCTACATCACTGAGTGAGTCTTGCAGCCACAGCTCAGGCACTGTAAACAAACCATGTCATCACACAAACACAATAATGTTTACCAACAGGACAAAAAAAGATTCTGGACGTCATACGTTTTTTACTTCTGTATCAGGAACCATTTGGTTAACACATAGAACTGCAAGAAATGTTTGTATCCATATTTCCTGCTCAGATAGAGTGCAACGATGTGGAATGGATTCATCTGACAAGGGATAGGAACCAGTAGCAGGCTCTTGTAAAAACCCTTAACAGAACAGAAAGAAGTATTTCTGAGAGAGTTGTGTGCTTTTGAAGAGCCCTAGTCTGCTTGCATGGATATGACTGTGTAACATTACCTGCACCACTGTGGGGGATCGGTACCCTTCTCACTATGTGTGGTGCACCATCGTCTGTACTGGTAAGTGCTTCAGTCATTACAGGTTGTACCTCTAAAGTAGAGTTGTCCAAGAGCACAAATCCATGCTGCAGAAAAAAAATGTGAATTGCATTAGTCCTGTTGAGCATTTGCTTTTCTGTCATCTTAACACTCTGAAGGCCAATGGAGAGTAAATACCAGAAATTATATGAGAATTGCAAACAATCCAATGTCAGCTACATTTTATTTCTTCAGATTTGATTTGCCCTAAAAGAAGAAAGTTGTAGTGGCCAAATACATGGCAGAATGAATATAATTTGAGGTAGTTACACCTTCAAACTTGATGAGGGTTAAGTGTAAGAACATGTTTTAAAATAAAGGTGCTGAGAAGATTATTTTGACCTAAAGAGTAGAAGTAAAGGAATGCTGGAAAAATCTGCACAACAAGGAACTTCAAAATTTGTAACATTTCACTAAATATTATTAGGGGCACCAGATCAAGAAATATGAGATGAGTGGGACATGTAGCATTCATGGGGGATATCAAAAATGCATATAGAGTTTTAATCAGTAAATGTGAAGGGAAGAGACCAAAGGAAAAATAGAAGAACAACAGTTCAGTCCCTGATCATGACCACATAAATACAATACTTTATATTATATGTGCATAATTTTACTATAGACCTTATGGTAATAATGGGTTATATTTTGTGATAAAAATAATATGCAACAGGTAAAAAACTTTGTTGACTCTCATAAACATCATGTCACTGATACAACAGGTCATGGAAACATTGCTGTTTGACTAATTAACATGGTCCTCATGCTGAAATAACACTGACCAGAGAGTTGGGGTGATGACAATCACTGAGTGCAGCCACAATGCCTCCCTTATGCTGCAAGTAGTGGCAGTTGCTGGCAGGGAGCAACAACGGCTCTACCCAGTTGACATCTGTCTGTTTGTATATTCTGAAGTTAGGCGCTAACAGATTCTTGTTGGGATGTAGCCTCAGGGATACTGTCCTGCAACATTTAACTTGACTTGTTGCAACAAAGCATAATTTGTCACATATAACAAAGTTAACGGCCTCTGATAAACAGAAAAGGAGCTACAATGAGACTCCGATAACATCTACATGGTCACTAAATGTGGGCAATCAAGAGGCAGCAAATTCTAGAAATAGAAGGCTCATTATTTGCCTCCAAGGTGCTGTGTTCAGGCATAGGAATAAAATTACTTGCATCATTTACTTCTTGGAGAACAACTAAGATGGAAATTGAAACATAAGTATGTGTATTTCTGTTAATAAATGATCTATGGAATGTGAATAAATTCTGTTCTAAACTGATATTCATAGTATGAAAATTATGTCTTTTTTTGGCTGTGAGAAGTTGCTTAAACTATTCCATACTAGAATTTATTTAATCTTTATCAACTGTTTTCCATAGCTTTCACACAGTTCAGGTGAACATGTATCATAGCAGCATATTGCTAAACTATTAACCCCCAGAGTAGAAGTCCACTCAGCAGCTCCATAGTACAAGAATCTTAAGTCCCCTTTCTCATGTGATAAAGTTCAGTATGATTCAATGGCAAAACATAATTTCTATTTCAAAAAAATCACAAGGAATTAGCTAACTTCAGTTGTCAAAAGACAGCAAGATATATTTCTTTCACTGATCTTTGCAACCATAAATAAATCCAGGCAGAAGTGTCCATGCTTATGAAAAAGTTGTCTAGTTTGTAACATGGAAATAATTATTATTTTATATGTGATTTCCACCTGCCAAATGCTGTGAACTTGTAATGTAATTCTGAATCATTATCGTCATAATCCATGGACAGGGCTTCTTCACTGGAGCTGGCAGCACTGAAGTACATTCTCTTGAAGTAGACCACCTCGACATCTTCTACGTACAACAGCGGTGATAACTGTGCATGGAACAAAATCTTTAAGTCTATATATTCCATGTAATCAAATATGAACTTCTTGTGTTTATAACTGCATAACACTTTGTCATTTGCTCAATATATTAAGAAGCAGACCTCAAGGAGCTGAAATTCTTCTTTTTCCTGTTTCTACATTTTCCGGTACCCTTTTACGGGTCCCCAACTTTTTCAGTTGGCTTATCTATGGTCATTCGGTAGGACTCCTTGGACGAGGGATCGGCCCGTCGCAAGGCCTCTACCTGTACAGGACAGCACAACACAGAAAAACATCCATGGCTTGAGTGGGATTCGAACCCACGGTCCCAGCGACCTAGCGGCACAAGGCCCATGCCTCAGACCGCGCGGCCACTGCGGACCCCGAAACTGAAATTAGAAAGGGAAGAAAATAAATACTAATAATAAGCAGCATTTGTTTGGAGATGATCATACCTGTGGAAACGCCAGTCCATGGTACAAGAACAGCAACAATATCACAACACAGGAGCCCATGGCAAACTACACACGTCGGTCCGATGCCCTCCGCTATATATTCTTGAGATCGCGGTGCGCGCGCCGGATCATCAAACGCAATCACAATCGAAACGTTTGAAACCTCGCAACCATACCAGTCTCCGAATCTGCGAAAGTAAGTTACACAAAACAACAATGCTTATTTCTCTTTTATCAGCTGTCTACTTGAGACGGGAATCATCATCCAACTACAAAAATCGTAGGGTTTGCCCCATCAGTCATCGCACTATCGCGTGATTAAAAGAACATCACAAAAACAATAACATGTAATAGGATCTC